TGTTCTAGCGAGTACTAACATATGGGTAACCCATTAACTAGAGCTCAAAATTTCACATACTGAATTACTAGCCCGACTTTAAAAGTTACTCGTCACCATAAGCTCATGATTTATTTAAATTTAGTTTTGGTGGTTACATGGAATGTCAATATGTTCATTAATGTATTGTATATATGGTGCGAATGCAGTGTGTGAATAAAGAGCTAGATTTAAGTGGACAGGCATTTGGTGTGTACATATATTTGTGATGGCTCACTCGGTACAAGACATGTGACGGCAAGGGAGCTGTATAAAGGTAAGCATATAATGAGTGCTCTCTCAATATAAAGGTGTTGTGGTGTTTGTATTGTCCTGTCTGTAAAATAAATTTGAAGAATCTGACTGTAGTTATATGTGGAGTGTGTGTTTAAAGTACATATAGTAATTGACCATCAACACTACCCACTCTGGAGTAGTCCTTTACACTTGAAAAGTTAGATGACTGATGAGGACACATTCCATCGTTCATGCTGTAACCTCTTTCCCTGTGTAATCTTTCTGCACTACTAGGTTACAGGGCAGAGGGAACAAGAGCAAGCAGAACTTATGATCACAGGCAGAGGGGTGAGTAAAAGTACAGTATAGAGGCTGCTCTGTTTCCTAATCAATATATAAAGCTTAAAAGAACACAAACATTAATAAAACATGTTTGTATTCTAACTGTTCTGAGACCCACATGTGAAGGTTTGAAAGGTATTACTTAACATTCAAACCAAAAAAAAAAAAAAAATCTAGATAGTACTTGTGCTCCCACATAACGTGCCGGTATCTGGGTCAGCGCTAAAGACCCAAAATCACATAATACAAAAATACCAAAGGATACCACACTCAAATTGGAAGGAATGATAATTAAATTAAAATTTATTAACACGGCTTAATAAAATTAGATAAAGTATTAGTCTATCCCATACAATGTTAGATATACGTTGCAAGGCAATGATTTCCCCGCCATAATAGTGCAAAAGGAAACTAAAGTGCTAAGTGCCTAATCACCATAAATACAGCCTGACCAGTACATTATAGTAGGTTATTCACTGTCTCGCCTCCCTGCTTTCAGCTGAGCTCTTCAGGTGGGGACTCCCAGAAAATACAACACACTGCCTGCCAATGATCTTTTGTAAGAGGGTAAAGGGACACTATAGTCACCAGAACAACTACAGCTTATTGAATTGGTTCTGATGAGTAGAATCATTACCTTCAGGCTTTTTGCTGTAAACACTGTCTTTTCAGAGAAAAAAGACAGTGTTTACACTACAGCCTAGTGATAACACCACTAGCCACTCCTCAGATAGCTGCTAGAGATGCTTCCTGGGTCATGGCTGCCTAAAATGCATCCAAACATTCAGTGTCTCCTCCCTCTGCATGCAGACACTAAACTTTCCTCATAGAGATTCACTGATTCAATTCATCTCTATGAGGAGATGCTGATTGGCCAGGGCTGTGTTTGAATTGTGCTGGAGGGCCTCACATAGCGTGAGGGCATCCGGCGTAGTTTAAAACACTTTTCGTGTTTTAAGAACACAGAAGTCCCTCTAGTGGCTGTCGGATAGACAGCCACTAGAGGAGGACTTAACCCTGCAAGGTAAATATTGCAGTTTATAAAAACGACAATAATTACACTTGCAGGGTTAAGAGTGGTGGGAGTTGGCACCCAGACCACTCCAATGGGCAGAAGTGGTCTGGATGCCTGGAGTGTCCCTTTAAATCTCGAGCGCGCAGCCCCGGATCTGCCTGTCTCGATCCTGCTATGACAAGATCATACTACCGTTACAGGACCCTAACACAAAAAAATTTTCCCAATTTTTTTTTTTGGGGGGGGGGGTCTACAGTTACATATAACAGATTGGGACAATTTAATAGACTTCTAGATCACTCTTCATGAACTTTGATTGCACAGATTACTGATTTCTATGTGCCCTCCACCACCTCCCCCCCCCCACCCAAAGATTTAGCTTCTTACAAAGGATCATGGGGGAGGCAGTGTGTTGTATATTTTATATTGTGGTGACTTTAAACTTTTGTAATAATGGATTGTATTTATGGTGAGTAGGCACTTAGCACTTTAGTTTTCTTTTGCACTACTATTATGGTGGGGAAATCATTGCATTGCAACGTATATCTAACATTGTATGGGATAGACTAATACTTTATCTAATTTTATTAAGTTGTGTTAATACATTATTTAATTATCTTTTCTACCAATTTAATTGCGGTATCCTTTGGTATTTTTGTATTACTTAACGTTCAGCCTTTGCTGCACTGTACTCTACGCTGCTGATCCACCTCTTTGGCTGATATCATCAATGATAAAATGTACTCACCACTGCAAGCCTGGAAGATCCATGTCAACCTAACCAGGAGTTGAGTTTTACTTGCCAGGGCTAAACTCAACAATGGCTGCAGTAAATTACAATTTTGAGCCCCAAGGTTTTTTCCTGCTGGGAGGTGAAAGGCACATTGTTATGTGGCTCCTCACAACTTCAGCCTATAAGCCATTCCAAACGTGAAGTGTGAGCCACTGAGGAGAGGAGCATATATGAGCTCTGCTCTTGCAGAGTGCAGTTCACTGGTAGCTGGGATTGCTGATTTCTCAAGTCTGAGAGATTCACAATATCCTTCACCAATGCTCAATATCCACTCAATTTTGTGCCATGAATAAATTGTGAATTAACAATCACAGATTGTGATAACAGCTTTCCACACTTTCCTCTACAACAGTTGCTAGTAGTTTAAAAATGTTTCGGTGCAGTTATACAATAAATGTGAAATAGTCAATTACTATAAATATTTTGACATTAATTTGATCATAGCTGTGTTGTACATTGAGATGAGGTGATCATAAGGTGTATATGGTGAGCAGTGAAGCTACAGTTTGCAGGTTAAGAGAAATCGGAAGGCAAGGTAGAACTATACGTACCAGCGCAAGATGCAACTGCATGCAGGTACAGAATTTAGACAGCTTATCTGCTTCAAACTCATAATAAAGAAACACACAAGGGGGAAAAATAAACAGCTTTGCACAAAAAGACTTTACTTACCATTACCTTAAATAAAATGGTTAGAAAAGCAGACAAAAGAAAACCATAAGCAAAATTATAAATAAAGACGTGCATAGCAACATTTGGATACAAGCAATGTTGGATTTTTAATTGCCAGCAGATAATTTAACTACATTGTATTGATCACACAGTGTAACAGGTTGGAGATGTTAAGAAGTCAAAGTAAGCGTAATGTAATCATTAAAACTCCTTCCAGTGCTATGAAATAACATCAGTGTTTTAATTTGATCTTCTACCAGCAGAATTTATATAATGCACCTGTAGTTTTACCAAGTCATAAATAGGCACCTTTAAAAGGAAAGCATGATAATACTGTAGAAATTTAAGAATGTATACAGAAGCTACAACTAACTCCACAAGGTTTTTTTATTTCTAAAAATGCTGAACAATGATGATGATGATGATGATGATGATGCTGCAAAGTAGTAGAAATGAAAAAGCTAGGAGTCCAGGACCTAAACATTGATATGTTTATCTTCAATGGTTAAGCACCAGCTCCAAGCTTTGGAGTTATGTATCTTCGGTCTACCTCTGAAAGCCTCCAAACTGAGATCACAGATCCATACATAGGCCAGTTTGTTTGAGGGGGCAGAGAATAAACACGATTTGAGGGAGGAAGAAAAGTGTCTTTGTATACTAAGGATCAGAATTCATATAAAAAGGTGCACAAGTCCATTATCAAGACGGGTACATTTTAGAACTTCAAATAGATACATGTCTATGTGGCTAAATCTCCCATGTCTTGCAACTGGCCAGTACTTGTCCCATACAGCACATGTATAAATAATACTTGTGCCCCGGGGCAAAAAAAAAAAAAGTAAAGCCGACTCTTGATATTTTGCAAGAGATGAGTGACATGAAAAGCTTCTTTATGTTTTTTGCCTCCAAGTTACATTATCCTCTGCCTCTGGTGATGGGCTAGAAAAACAAAAAGGTTGTCCAACCTTGTAACAAAGCCAAGACGCATTTGATATGATTTAAAACAAAATAAAAAATAAAATAGATGAGCTCAAGTGCTTTGTTTTCCATGATTAAGAAAAGGAAGTGACAGTAACTTCAGGAATTTAAAGACCAGTGTCAATAATATAAAGCATTAAAAAAATCCAACAAGTATCCATGATATATCAGAGCTGCTTCAATATCTCAAAATGCAGCATTACACAATTGCTAGTATTTCACTAGATATTGTCAATATGTAAATATTCCACAGAAAAGGTTAATATTAAAACTGAAAAGATTGGCTACAAAATAATAAATAAAATGAGTGCATTAAATATAATTGTATGCATACACAGTATTAATTTTAACATGCTACTGCTCTCTCCTAGATGGATAAGATGTGAACAGACGTGCTGTGTAAACTAGTCTGTAGAAGGATATGTGCTTTATTGCCAGCAATGCAATTTTATTTCATTACTTAATCGATGATTGCAGAGTCTCCAAAATCCCAGTTAAAGTGTCTTTTCGAGTCACATCAAATAGTTAACAGCTCCTTGCTCGTACACTTCAATAGCACACTTCATTAACCCATCCACTAACCATCATACAAGTAAACAACTGCTGAAAACCAATAAGACTGTACCGAGCAATAAGCCGTAATTGCGTTGTCCTGTGAATTTTCACTTATTGATGTTAAAATAGCCAGTTCCTCTTCAGCGTTGTCTTACAGTTCTATGTAACAAGTGAATCTTTTCCTGACATGGGCGTACAGTAACCTAAACAAACAATAGGTTAATCCCATCGTCTCCTTGTCTACAGGACAGATAATGTCACGGAAGCCCATGTTTTCCTAACAAAATAGAGCACTGTGGGCAATAGAGGAGAAAACAATATTTAGCAGACTTGTAAAGTTTACATTGGATAAACAATTCCCCCATGGTAAAATATGAATTTATTACTGGAAAAAAAAAAGTTTAAGAAGGCACACAATTGAACAGTTGCTCAAGTAGAAGATTTGTAAACAGAGGATATGTTAAATCCAGGTGTAAGAATAAAAAAGGCAACTGAAGTAACGTGTTAGTCTTTTTTTTTTTTTTTGTGTATGCACCTTAACAACATACTTCAGAAAACAATAAGGCAATTTGCATACTTGATACACCAGAAAAAATTGGTACAATGGTAGTGTAGGAATAGGTAATATAATTTAAATACAAATGTGCTATGCTGGAACTATCTTAGGGTTCCACATTTCTGCATCACAGTATACTAAAAAATAGTATATGTACGACCATTCGTGTACCACCGCCAATTATTGGCAACAGGTTGTAATGTTGTAGGGGTGAATATTTCCCCAGGGTAATATACCATCCCCAAAACGAGGAGAATAAGCTGAGGGTTTCCCCATGTCATTCCTAGGCAGCATCATATTTTTGTAGAGCTTCCTCCAGTTTTAGCGTCACTTTTTGGAAGAATGTGATCTGTTGTTGTAAGAAATGTTGCATTTGTGACTTGAAGTCTCTCACTCGGATTTTGTGAAAGTGCTGTATTTCTGCTAGGCTAGCATAGGAAATAATGTTACAGCGTTCTTGGATATCACTTGCTTTCTGAAGCTCCATCTTCCCTTCTTCTACATGCTTCTTACTCTCTCGTACTTTGGTCAGTGCACCTACAGAGAAACAAAAAAGAAAATTTAAATCACTTCAGATTCCCGTTATCTAGTTTAAAAATAGCTCGTCTACGTGATACTCAAAATAACGTTTGAATAGTGTACGCTGGCACTGAACGTAAAAATGTAACGGAGAAGTATGGGGGATCATTTTAAGAATCTCTAGAAGGGCAGCAGCCTTCTTCCCCCTTAGTCAGTTTAAATTTAACATAAAAATTCCCACGTAGCTCCGAGTCTACCACAGTCTGATCACTAAAGAAAACCTCATATAAAAACAGACTCTTAAATCATGGTGACCTTTACATTCCTTCGTTTTTACTTTAGCAAACATGGATGACAGTCAGTGGGGTAGGGTATGCAGACGAGATTCACAGAAACATTTGCAATTCTACTATGTTTGGATAATTGTCACTGCAATCCTAGTGAAGAGTGACATGGGCCATAGGCCTAGTGTGTATGAACTAAATGCAAGGAATAATGGAGCATTTGATAATTGCACTGCATGTCAAACTGCACCGGAATATAGATAATTTCTCATAACTCTGCAGGACTAAAAATGCCAAGACCTTAGAGTTCTCAAGTTATAATATCAATGAATTCACTAACTAATGAAAACAGTGTCTTGTATCTGAATGTGCATATAGCTACTACAAAGGCTCTTTTTTTAAATAGCCAGAATACAGCATATTTAAGTAATTGAGAACAGAATAGATCCCCCATCTAATATCAGGAGGGCAAAGGGTGGCTTCAATATGCCACAATATTTTCATAGCACGTGGCACTCCAAACAACGGAATGTGAAGAACAAAATCAGTTGCAGTACACCTTTAAGATAGATAATTGGTTTTGCAGTAAGAAATGATAATCTGTAAATATGTATTGCCTAGAAAAATATGTCACCTAATTCATAAATGTGATACATCACATGTCATGACAGGTGCTTTAACCCCTTAAGGACCAAACTTCTGGAATAAAAGGGAATCATGACATGTCACATGTCCTTAAAGGGTTAAAATAGTCAATGTCACTGTGTGTAGCATTTCTTCCTATAAGATTATCTGGAAACCTCAAAGAGGATACTAGTTGGTTAAGATTACATTTTTAGGAACAATACATTTTTGCCTGTATTTTGTCAACTACTGGGGTACTAAAAAGCTTCAACCTTAAGTAAAGCAATAACCCACATTCGCATATATAATTTTTCACACGTGAATTATTTATTCCATATTTCTACTAATTAAAACACAATGCATTCGAGATTATTGGTCACCTTTGGAGACAGTTGTTGAACAATCAAACTCCTATCACTCTCAGGTAGCCAGTACATGCTGGTGTCCGTGGGATATTGGCATGTACACTGCTGTTACGGATAGGTGTGGAATTGCTGTCATCACACACACTCCTATCACTCGGTCAGTCTGACCAGTACATTATAGTAGGTTATTCACCGTCTCTCCTTCCTGCCTTCAGCTGAGCTCTGCATGTGGGGACTTACAGAAAAGGGTGACGCAAGGTCACTACATGGCACTTCGATGGCTGGAGGCTAGAGTTTCCAGATTCAGAAGACAACGTTTGGTGAATGGGAGAGGCGAGTGAATTGGTAATAATCGGTAAATTACAATGCCGATAACCAATTATCAGATGCTGAATATCGTCTCTAACCAGCAAAACTGACAAGTCTATCCTTACAATATATTTGCATATTTTATACAAAATGTATTGTGTATGGCTGGAAGGTTTCTAACAACCCATAGCACAATAAATATTAACAGTTCCAACGTCTAAAATTATGCAAAAAAAAAAAAAAAAAATTATTTTGTTTTTACAAATACTTTAGTGTCTCAAACTAAAAAGGTACTTGCTGCTGCAAACCTCTTCTTGCAATGCAACTAAAGTGAATCGATAGGGCAGCACCATGCACAGCCAATCAGCTCTCAAATAACTTGTACACAAACATTTCTGAGCACTGACTGCATACTAAGAATTATAGGATGTGTTGCTTAGCTGCCTATGGATTCTATAACAGAATTCATCACAAACCTACCAATGGAGTTTGACATCAGAAAAATAAAATGGAAATAACTTTTTAGTTACACATTTGAGAGTAATCTTGTAAAAATGTAAATCATGAGTTTTTCACTACAGTGTAAATCATTGGTTTGTGAAAAGTAACTTGAGGTAAATGGTCTCATTCCTCTGGACTAAATTTTCACTTGGGGAGCAAAAAATTTAATACCATAATTCAAGGGTTACTCCAATCAAAAATCGTTTTGAGAAAACAGTGATTTTTATTAGAGTAACGCTTTCAAGATGGTCCGCCCCCAAACTTAAATAAAAAAATTAAACGAACACTTAACTTCCCTCCATGCTGACGAGAAGTTACCATTCCAGATGATGCCTTGTCATTGGCAGTGATGGGGTTGTCTTGCACACGCTTCCAACCTGCATCAGTTTCCTACCCATCAGGAGTGCTAGAACGCATGTGTAGCACAGGCAACAGCTGGTCCGCCTCACCGGATGTGACGAGGGTAAGGAAATCTGACAAAACACTGGGAGCAGCAATATGATGTCACTCTGGCCCCCACGTCGCTAAACAGTGCGCGGGAGCAGAGCAAGAAAAGCTTAAAAATTACACAAGCCCCACTGGACCTCAAGGAAATGATCCACTTTAGCTCTCCCAAGACTGGGTGGACATAAATTTAAATCAAAATAATTATTGGTGGATTTGAGAGAGAATGTGCCTGTCAGTGAGTGTGTGTCTCTAAATGTGTGTTCAGGTTACCGGCCAACCTCCAATCGCATGGGTAAGGCGTTTTTACGCACTACAGTTGTTACTATGCAGCAATGTCAACACTGCCTTTTCTCTAAAAAAAGCCTACACGGACAGGATATAGACACCAGAACCACTACATTAAGCTGTGACCCTTTAAGAATTGTATTTTAGGTGTTGAAAATGAAGCTTTGTTAGTTTAACAAAACCGGTCTAACATTTTTAGCTGGCTCCTAGATTCAAAGCAAATTTGTCAAGCCTTGCACTAAAACCTGATCTCCTGGTCTCTAAATGTTCATTATTAATTTTGTGTCAGGACATGTCGATTGCGATACCACTTTAGTCTCTTGAATAGGTGTGTGTGTGTGTGTGTATATATATATATATATATATATATATATATATATATATATATATATATATATAAAATTTCCTTCTTTCCACGCCTTTGCATTGAGAGTGTCAGCGGTTGCTCTCAGCTTTTTATTGGCACCCCACGTAGAAAACAGAGTGCAAAAGGTATGTATATTGTAATAGGTTGACTCGAGTCTCAGCCTATCAACAGCACCACACAAAGAAAGGAAGTAGCTGGGAAAAAGGGTCAGGCACCGTCTTACAAAGTTGGTGTTAAATTGGCCTGGGGCCTACTCAAACCTTGTATTCTACAAACTCTCACAGAAGGAAACAAGGGAAAAAAATAATTTTACATTATAGTGGATGAATAACTTGGGGAAGTCAATACTTTTGAAGTTTGTTAAGGTCATAACCTCTTAACTTAGTCAGACATCTTTTGTACAGATGGCAGATTACCATTACAGTCTATAAGAAGTCAGTGTATGCATTATTCCAGTGTTTTCATAGAATTCACTAGAGACTTACAGCTCATTACTTTAACTATACCCTATGTATCACAAGTCCCATTTGAAACCATGGAAGAAGACAAACACCAACAACATCTTATATGAGAGAGTACAGTGCTAGTCCCATAGAAATCTGATACCTTTACAAATTCCTCCATTCTAATTCATACAGACAGGGTTATTCAATAAAAGTCAGAATTCAAAGCAGATTCAAAGTGAATTTCAAATTTAAGGTCAAAACAGCCAAACTGGAAAAATTCTCCTAAGTCAGCTATGCTTTCAGTTCAACTACTCTAGCCTTCACTTTGAATTCCCACTTAGTAAATAACCCTGGGAGTGCACTTGACCCCCATCTGGCATTGCATCAAGTGATACAGCATTAAAAACTGATGTAGGAAGCAAAGAGCAAATGTATAAATAACACAAACATCCATATCAAGTCCTTTCCTCTCAGGTGACACTAGCTTGACTCTGCTCTTTCCTGGAACCCATGACTACAAAGCACACCCTCTACATAAAGGAATCAACACATGCTTTAGTAATACTGTCCTCTAAACTACTCATACCTTTAGACTAAATATACAAGTGTTTGTTTTTGGGGTTTTTCGATGAATGGGGAGATTGGTATACTCCAATACACCACATTGTCATTAAAACAGTCATCGTAGCATATTAATTTTGAATTCACAATTTAGTCAATAACCTCGTGTATGATGACTTTTCAGTCATGGCTTAACCTTGCTGGCAGCTATTTTTATATCCTCGTAGGTTGGAAGTGCAGCTTATTAAACCGAACACTTAAAGCATTATAAACACGTTGGTGCACTGTAGTGGTTATGGTGCCAGGAGTGCTCTTTGTATTTTAGAATGGAGTCCTTCAGCTGCTGCTTATTACCTCCCATGCAGCCTCCAGGCAAGCTGTGTGATCTAAGCCCTGCAATGCAGGATACTCCCAGCCAATGAGCTGGTTTTACACCGCAGGTCTTGGATCAGGAGAGCTAATGGAAGCTCCTGGTTCTCCTGCAGGCTAAGAAGAGATGGAGAGCAGTGCCCGGGAGACCCCAGGTAAGAAGTCAAACTGTACTAAAACGGTTTTACTACTTACAATAAGAAGAGCACTCCTGGCACCATAACCACTACAATGCACTTTCATGATCTATTGTGTAGTCACAAACAGTCACGTGCATGTACCAAAGCACTTTGCATTGAGAAGCACTAAAACCAAAGCTTGTCTATAAGAAGCATTCCCAGTGTTTATCGGCATCCTAAAAAACAAAGTGGAAACACCTCCCAATACGTGACAATATATGTATAGAAAATATACAAATAACCTGAAATCAGGTAATGATTCTCCCTATTATACGGTTTCACTACACTTTCTTAGTGTGTATACTTCTCTTTGTTTGTATTCTATTTATCGACATCCTGTTGGGCTCAATGATGCAGAATGAGAAAACTCAATTATTTCAAGTCTTCACTAGGACATGGCTTTACTGGCTGTCACTCTGTCCAGCTCTAGATGTGTAGTTATGACTAAAAAGGAACATTACCATTTCAGAGAAACTGCAATGCTTTACATTTCTGCACAAATGGGACAGCGTCTCTGCAGCAAAATTACTTCATTAAGCATATAAAAACTAAAGCTTTTATATGAATATATTAAACTTAAACCATTCTATCAAAAACCTTAAAAGCCAGAATGAAAATTTAAAATTATTAACTCAACTCTGCAAGAACTAGCAGTAAAATATAGAGACAGGCAATTAAAGGGACACTACAGTCACCCAGACCACTTCAGCTCAATGAAGTGGTCTGGGTGCCAGGTCCCTCAGGTTTTAACCCTGCAGATGCAAGCATAGTTTCAGAGAAACTGCTATGTTTACATTTGTGGTTAAGCCAGCCTCTAATGGCTGTCTTCTGGACGCAGAACTTAGTCGCCAGAGTGCAATGGGCTTTTTTGCGCAAAGTTAATATTGGGCCTGCTGCCTAAGTCATGATTACCTTTGATGTAACTAGCCCCCAGCAAGTGCAAATATCTCTGTATGTGCAAAAAGTCTTAACATACAAATCAAGATCATTATGACCACTTCTAAAAACAGAGGTAGACATGGTGGTTTGCGTAACTCGAGTAGTTAAAAACTTTATAGAACAAGGAGAAATCTGCCACTTCTTCAGAATAGTTTCCCAGAAATATGTATAGGGTGGAGTGAACACAAGTTCCTATATAGAGATATGCCGGGAAATATAAAATTAACTGTTACTCACAACAAAATGAATGCGTTGGTTCGTGACTTCACTGATATTAACTTAAAAAAAAAAAAAAGAGGTTACTCTACAGAAAGTCTGCTTGTCATGCAACTTTTAGGCCTAGGTCATAGCATAGTAATTGCATTTTTGAGCCCTGTTTGAAACCTCTGCAGTTAGTGCCAAATATCACTTAAACCTTAGAGCCAAATGTAAATTTTGAGATGTATATGTGAATGGTGAAAGTTAATCATACAAAAATAACGCCATTGATTGGATTTCTGAGATGGTGGTGGGTGGGATTTACACTCCTGGATAAGCAGCAGTTTGTCAGGAGTGTGAAACCTGTGTGCAATTAAGAGCCTATGTGTTGATTTATTTATTTTTATTGGGTTGGTAACAAAAGCTTGGGAGGACATTATAAACATCATATGTTGCATTTAGAATCTCCAAATATTTTATAATTTGCTAACCCACTTGACGGTTATTCACAAACTGGTCATTTGAAATGAAAACAGCTAAGTTGGAAATCAAAATATCTGTGGAGACTTTAGGCAGGGATAGGCAACTTTCAGCACTCCAGGTGTTGTGGACTACATGTCCCTTCATGCTAGCAAAGCATCAACGGAGATGTTGCACAATATCTGGAGTGCCTAAGGTTCCCTACCCTCTGCTTACGGGTATGTTGGTTTAGAATTGGCAATTCTCTGGTTTATTTCCAGTTTCATGCTTGTGAGAAATACTGCATGCATGGAATTGTAAATATTTTGCTAATATATAATTATAGAATGTTCTACACTGTAATGATGCAATTCTAGTATAGCCGTGAAATAAAAAAATAAAGATTCATAAAGAAAAAAGGCTGGCATCAAACTCGAACATCCACCTGCACATCAACAGAGAATGTTTAGTTGTTGCTGCTGGGAGTAGATTATACTAAAAGTGAAACATTTATATATCTAGCATACAGCTGCTATATGAAGTTGTAAGTGTGATTGGTGGCAGTGATGTATTAATTATATTGTGTATTAGACAATTACAGATAAGAAGGCACATTCAATTAGTGTACAAATAATGAGGCAGCTGTGTTTGTACATCACATGGTGATGATTACTTTTCTCTGTTTGTTTAGATCTCATAGATTGTAAGCTAGCTTCAGCACGGCCTTCTTCACCTCTTGTTCATATTCTGTATGTCAGTTACTTGTTGCCAAAACCTCCTTTTCTATCATTTCAAAGACCTGTCAAATAAACGACAGTACTAGGTTTCAGTAACTATCACTATGAATTTACAGTTTAAACAAAAGATATACAAGAAACAAAGTAGCTTATCTTAGTCAGAAGACTTTCACGAAGGCCTTGTTGGCCAAGAAAAGTTAACATTGTGTAAATATGCCTCTAAATCTGCATCCTCTTTACCCTCTTCCCTTTTATATAACAATACGTACATTTGTGTAGTAGCTGCAGGATGGGCAAACCCTCCTATCAGCCTCAGAGATAGAATTCAAGGCACCGCGTCCTATCCATTATTCACCATGGATTTTTGTGGTTCACCATTAGGAATTCACTTAAGATAACTTGTCATGTGTTTTATCTCATTTGGTGTTTTATTTTATTGCAATACAAAGCAAACTGTATTAGAATAACCTCTATCTTCAAGGGAAACTATAGTCACCAAAACAACTTTAGCTTAATTAATCAGTTTTTGTGTATAGAACATGCCCCTGTAGCCTCACTCCTCAAATCTCTGCCATTTAGGAGTTAAATCACTTTGTTTATAAACACTAGTCACACCTCCCTGCATGTGACTTGCACAGCCTCCCTAAACATTTTCTGTAAAGAGTCATCTAAAGTTTATCCTTCCTTTATTGCAAATTCTGTTTAAATTAGATTTTTTTTTTTTTATCCCCTGCTATGTTAATAGCTTGCTAGACCCGGCAAGAGCCTCCTGTATGTGATTAAAGTTCAATATACGGAGCAGGAGATTAAATTGTTTAAGGTAAATTACATCTGATTGAAAGTAAAACCTTTTTTTTTTTTCCATGCAGGCTGTGTCAGTCATAGCCAGGGGAGGTGTGACAAGGGCTGCATAAACATGAGCAGTAAAACATGAGAGGCACGATCTATACGCTAAATCTGCTTCATTAAGCTAAAGTTGTTTAGGTGACTATAGTGTTCCTTTCATGTTCACTGCTGTGCTTTGCCCCTCCCTTTAGCTGACAAATGTCTCCGCAGTCCTTCTGTATTATGCAGAGAGGCTGTGAATTATCATTTCTATTCCCCTCCTTAACTGTAAAAAGAAACAAAACAAAAAAAACACATTTCTAGATCACTGCAGTGAAAATTGTCATAATCTTAGGTACTCCATATGCACCCAAGGTTTCAAATGTTGGGCTACGTTTTTACATGTATTAATTGGCTTAGCTAAAGTCAGCATCAGTCATATTGTGCAAGTTTATGCTCTGGTATGTCTCTGGTTAAAATTGTAGTGCCAACAACATTTGTAGAACTGCGTTCTAGGTATTTTTCCTCAGTGATGTGATTTTTTTTTTTTTTTTCACCCTGTTCTGCTCTGTGGCAGCTCTTTGCAGCAGCATAGGACAAGTAGGCAGATGCCTAACGGGACACAAGTATATTGTTAAATTGTTTGACTACTCACTCTGGGAGTAAGAGCATTCCTGGCACTATAACTACTACAGCAGGTTATAGTGCTTGGTATGTTTCTTTAAGTTCTGATCTACTTGAACGATGCCAATCGAGTGTCCAAATTTGGTATTAGGACACTCGATTGAGGTTAGTCTGATGAGTGAACCAGGCCAGGTTTACAGCTTAATTATTCTGGCAAGCTCCCTCTTGGTATCTTTATTGACAATAGTAACAAATTCACATTAAAGGATCACTATAGTGTCAGGAAAACAAATCGGTTTTCCTGACACTATAGTACCCTGAGGGTGCCCCCACCCTCAGGGTCCCCCTCCCGTGGTGTTGAAATTGTCCCCTCCTTACCTCCTCCTATTGACAATTATTTTATTTTTTCCTCCCTCTTGTGTCCACCCCTACTCCCTCACCTCCCTGGCTCAGGGTGCGCGCATGCTCTGAGCGGTTCTATATGAGAAGCATATGATTGGACCTTAGAGGAAAGGAGTGAAGTCACACAGTGCGTGGAAAGTAACCAGGGAAGCTTTGCCAGGCACTGGATTGCACAAACCTTTTTACCTTTTCCCCCCCCCTTTTTAAACCTATAACAGTGGGAGACCTAGAAATTAATGCCCAATATTTCATACTACAATAAAGAGTTGGATTAACCCCTTAATGTAAATAGCAATGTCCAGTTATTTCTACATATATTCTACTACAGTTAAATATCTGTCCTCCCCACAATTTAATGATTTTTAGAAGACTGAGTGGTCCATTCCTTGTATACATTAAATACAAATATATCATAAACACTGGGACAAGGAACAACATTTTATTTTATTACTTTGTAGAGATCAAAGGAATGTTATCAGCATGTGTGTTCTTTATAACAATTTTAATTCTCTTTTGTTTTAATTGCACCAATATGTTTTGTTTTATTAGGTTTTTATTTTATGAGCTGCTCTGATAGGCTGTCAGATAGTTCAAGGTTCAGCCTGTGTCATTTGTCACTGTTCCTCTATTCTATATGTAATAATTAGCTTGTATGAATCGTGTCCTGTGTGAGTATTTTGTAGTCCGTTAGTGTTGCACTAGAACCTTTATCCGTCCGTTTAGAAACAGGACTCATGCTGGACAATTCTGGCTCCAATCAAAGCTGCATAAAAAGCACAGCTTTTCCACAAAGACAAAGAAACTGCAAAGTCATTAACAGATCATCAAACAATAGCTATGAGCTGCAATTACTCAAAGTAAAAAGTAATTTGCATGTGTCAGAATTATTTTCAAAATTGCACAATTCAGCCATCACAAGGATGCAAACATAAATAAGACAGTGTTTCTCAAACTGTAATGCACACTTTAAACCACTACTTTCAATTTGCATATTCCTCTAATGAATTATATTTAATGGAGTTTGTCAAAAAAAAACCAATGACAGATTTATAGATTAAATAAATTAAAATTGAAGTATTTTAATGTTTGCAACCAGCACAGAAACAAATTAATAGCTTTTTATTATTCTATTGGTTTTTATTGTGATTTTTAGACCTTTATAAAGGGCACTCAAAGTTGTAGTTGGTATGGTGCTATGAGACTGCAGGTGCTATGTTGTATTTCTGTGTCAAACTATCTGAGCAACTTGGGGATCTCCAAAGAACTGAACCCCAGTCCCTCCCTCACAGGTTAGCAAAGTAATTTTTCCCAAAATTTGGAAGACAATGGCTGAAAACATCAACTGACACATGCAGTCAATCAATGCCCTCAACTTCTTAGCAAAATAGTCACACAAAAAACGAAAGAAGCTGTAAAACCTGTGGTGTTTCTATGCATTTTGAAGAAAATCTGGTCACAGATGGTCTACTGTATTACAGACAAACTTCTACAGTCTCTCTGACAGAAAGCATACTTTCACACATAGCACAGTCACAAAAGTTCTCCCAAAGATACCTGATCACCCTTGTCAGGCAGATCCAGACTGATCACAACTTTTCTACCATGAAGGATATACCAAACTTCGAAACTCCTTGTTCCAAAAAGCCTTAGGTACCAAATGAATGGTTATCACTATCTGTAAACAGAAGGCTGAGTTGATTCCTCCACAAATCAATCTTGTGGTTGTGAGATTTAAACAAATCCCAGACATCAGCAGCTGAAGCACTAAACGCTTGTCTTGAGATTGTATAATATCTCCTTTTTGGGTCGACTCAATGAATTATGGAAAAGGAAGATCAACTGTCTGACTCTAATTTATTATGGAAGTAGATTTAGGGGTCCGTAGTAAGGGTTACTCCATCCATCACCACCACATCAGTGATTTTAATTGGTTATAGTGGTAGGAGTCTATAGGTGCAACATTTCTGCATCAAACGCTTCAAATTCAGAGAGATTTGAACATGTGCTGGGGGCAAGTTATACCCCAGGCACACAAGACTTTGGCAGCCCGAAGCTCTGTTCAGAATGACAAATGTCACTTTGGCGTTTACTACTTTTAAAAGGGGTGGGGGGGTGGGGATAAATCACAAAAATGGTTAGGTAATCGGTAAACATCACCATTGGTAATGTTTTTTTATACATTTAGAATACAAAAAAAACCAAAAAACACACCTTTGCAATACTGTTTGTTCACCTTTCAATAAGGACCTATCAAATGTTGCCGCTGTTAAACCTCAATGTAAACTGAGAGCTTGCAAGTCACTCAATTAATATACATTTTTTTTTCTTTAAACGTTCACTTTAGAAACTGCAGTCTAAGTAGGATTTGCAATACGCTCTAAACAGACCAGGAAGTAAACGGCACACTTTCTATAGTGCTGCTGACAATTTCCCATAAGTAATGGTTTAAACCTTTTCTTTTTCTCTGTGCACGCTTTCTAACCAAGCACCTATTTAAACAGCTTGATCACAATAGCTTACTCAAGGTGTATATTGCAAGGTAGAATATTTTGAACAGTTCGAGAAAAGCAGGTAAATTTTGTTTTACACAATTATATTCTACACTCAGTTCCAATGTGTCTAACTAATCCTGTTGCAGATACTAGTCTGTTAGTCCACCTATTGTACAGCACTGCAAACTTTGTTGGTGTTTTAGAAGTATTACTTCTGCATAAAGTGTGAGTGAATGGCTGCGCTGGAAGTTCAGATTTGAGATCTGGAGAAGCAAATTGCAACACTGAGAGAGTGAAAATCTTAAAATTGCTATGCTGCTCACTGACCAGAGTTTAGCTACAACTAGTGATGTGGCAGAATATAAGCCATTTAAGGAACCCATAGAAAGATGGGTGACAGACATGGCAGCTGAGGGAGGATCAATCCTTTAAAGACTAATTCGGGTATATGCTGTGAATCAATTTGTTAAAGGGACACTATAGTCACCAGAATAACTACAGCTTATTGTATTTGTTCTGGTGAGTATAATCATTCCCTTAATGCTTTTTGCAGTAAACACTTTATTTTCAGGGAAAATGCAATGTTTACATTACAGCCTAGGGATACATCCACTGGCCACTCATCATATGGCTGCTAGAGGTGCTTCCTGGGTCAGTGCTGCACAGTGTGCACTACTGCCATTTAGGGTCTCCACCAACTGCATGGAGACACTGAACATTCCTCATAGAGATGCATTAATTCAATGCATTTCTATGAAGATATGCCAATTGCCCAGGGCTGTGTTTGGCTTGTGCTGACTTTGCCCCTGATCTGCCTTCTTGACAAGCTCAGCCAATCCAATGCTTTCCTATGTGAAAGCATTGTGATTGGCTCATAACACCACTTATGATAATGTCAGCCAAGCAGGCAGATCAGGGGCAGAGCCAGCAGCTGCAGACTGGAATAAAGGTAAGATTTGCAGTGTTTAGGGGGCAAGGGGAGGCCAGGAGGGATAGATGGTGATTTTAACACTCAGGGGACAGGAATACATGTTTGTGTTCCAGACCCTATAGTGTTCCTCTACACTAAATATTCAATTTCAAAATGGAATGGCCTACATAATGTAAAACTGTGGGGTTAGATGGAGAGCCAAAAGCTAAGTAAGCAGGACATTAATTGGAACAAAGTGTCCTGCTTACAGTACTGAGGATAGGGGTGACAGCAAAGTGCCATGGGCAATGGAGTAAATAAAGTTGATAAACAAAGCCCAAGGGCCAGGTGGTATATAATCACTAGTACTTTGGGAGCTTAGATTAAAAATAGCAATACCAATGTTTTGCATTATACAGGATTTATTTTTTTGCAGGAATCATATCAGAGGATTGGAGAAAATGACATGGTGCCCATAATTAACAAAGGAACAAAATCTCTACCCTGAAATTACAGAGCAGTGAGCTTAACAATTAAAGTTGTTGGAGTCAAAGGGAAAGCATTTTGGAATTAATGCTAAACCATGTCATTAGAAGTTATCAACATCAACACAAATCATGCTAAACTAACAGTTCCTGCTAAATGCAGAGGATTCTGACTTTGTTTGATTTATTTGATGACCGCAAACAAAAAACATTTTCTGACGAATCACCTAAAACTAATTTTTGCATATTTCTATTAGTATTGTGAAGGACTACGGACTGAAACGTATTCAAGATACACTATAACTTTAGGAATACAAACATGTTTTTATAGGGGGGGAGGGGGAGAATGAAAAAAATATTAGTTTTATTTCCTTACTTAGAAATTAAGATCCAGGTTGTCATGACAGCATCAATTCACTGTTGCAAATGTCAGCTGTACATTCAAACCATTGTGTGGAAATCTATTCACAAACCGGATTTTACATAGGACACGAGGCCATGCGTTTAGACTGGAAGAAAGAAGATTTCGTCTAAGACAAAGGAAAGGTTTTTTTTTTACTGTAAGAACAATCAAGATGTGGAATTCTCTGCCTGAAGAAGTGGTTTTATCAGAGTCCATACAGATGTTCAAACGGCTACTAGATGGATACTTGCAAGAACAGAATATTCAAGGATATAATCTTTCAATGTAGGGTAATAAATGCTTGATCCAAGGATAAATCTGACTGCCATTCTGGGGTCAAGAAGAAATTTTTGTCCTAGCTTGTTGCAAAATTGTGCTTCAAACTGTTTTTTTCCCTTCTTTTGGATCAACAGCAAAAAACAAACGTGAGGTAGGCTGAACTTGATGGACGCAAGTCTCTTTACAGCTATGTAGCTATGTAACTATGCTATAAATCTCCCATGTCATTATATCCCAATGTCCTACTGGATAGTGATCAGGTCACTGCTGAGCTCATTTGAATATAGTGGATTCTACCACTTTTGGAATCAGTTTGAGATGACGTGCTTTGTGACAAAACACATTATTCAGCCATAGGTGGAATGTGGCCATAAAAATGTGTTGACAACAACAATACTTTTGGTAAGGTTGTAGCATTCATACAGAGCTCAGGTAGGATTAAGAGACCCAATGTGTGCTAAAAAACATTTACTACACTACCACTCTGAATCATGAACACAAGGCTAGAATGTTTCCGCCACATTTTGACCACATCGCCTGCTTGTCACAGAAAAAAATCTTAGCATCACAAGACCATTTTGCAGCGTTAAATGATCACATTTTTATTTAACTAAAATACCATATTCTGAAATAGACAAGGCAATGTCAAGATATTTTCACACAGAATTGTCAGTCACATAAGATAAACTACCCTTTGGCTTATTGGCTTACAGACTATTCCATATGGCATCCATACTACACTCCTTTGTATGATACAGCTATGTCAGCAGGTCATGAAGTTTTAACTAAGTGCTTGACATCCTCTTGGGGTAGAAAAGTGCTCCATAAATAGATTAAACATTGGCTTACAGCATAATTGGAGTTTCAGTATTGCCTCATGATTTGATGAAGAGGTTTACCCAAATAAGGGCCTTCATTAGTGAAGGTAAAAAAGAAAAATAAGATTTGATGAATACATGCACACACAAATTAACACTTTTTCCATTGTAACAAAAACCTGCATGATTATGATTCTCCTTTACACTACAGTCTGTGCATCTCATTTAATTACAAGGAGTAGTAATTTATTATATTACACCCAAAGCATAAATAAGTAAAATACAAACTTAACTTGACACCAGAATAACCTGAACATAGATAATATTTAAAATCACATACTGAAGGTGAATATAAATATTACATAATTTCAGTGTGTGGTGGCAGTGTACCATTTAACGTGATGTACTTTGTGTAGTTTAAAGGAACGCTCCAAACTAAAGCACTTTAGCCACACTAGTAATCTCACGGAAGGAAAGTCTAACCTCTAGATTTGAGTTAACATTTATTTAATAGCCACACAAGAAGAGGCAACAGGGCTACACTAGTCAGCACTGGTGCCTCCTAATCGGTTACAGAGGAACTTAAGGGCATCACCCAAAGTAAATTGAACAAAAACTACTAAATTGAGTCAGGATAACTCCTCACAAATATGTGGGGAATCCCTCCTCCATAAACGAGAACCTCTAAATGAATTAAGTATCCATAAATATGGTATAAGCCTTTGGTATAGAGGAAAAATAAAGCAGGATGGGACGACCGCCCACTTAAAGTTTGCGGACTCCCACTCCACCAAAAGAAGTTCCTTAAAAGTAAATATTCGTATAGGGGGTATAAGCCTTTATTAGGATATTGAAATATAAAGAGCCAAGAAAAAAAAAAAAAAAATATATCAATATTTCAGGTTCCCCCATAAACAAAACTACAACCAAGTGCTGAATCTCTCACAAACCCCCTACTGAAAAGAAAAAAAAAAAAATCAGATTGCTTATTTCAAGAAAGTGTGTCCAGAGATTACCAAGAAAAGCCTTATTTATGCAGTAAACAAAATGATTGGATAATACTAGCATGCAATGTATTACCTAGAAGTCGCATTGGAAGAGATTTATTAAAGTATAAGAAAAGCGGTGTTATCACCATGGAAACCAAAAGCACATTCCACTGGTGATTCCACTTCTAACTTTGTACCACTTTTCAGAATAAGACACTTTCATAAATCTCTCAGCTCTTTGTACTTCATTTTGAATACTTGACACCTCATATGCTCACTTTACAATGGTGATGAATCACTCCAGCATCCCAGATGTTTGAAAAATAAATTTCCCATCATGTTCAGCAAGCCAAAAACAATTGGCAGGCTGAGTATCACGTGAAAGGCACATTAATATCTAGGGTGCTAAGATTTGGCAAAATGTCTTCAGTGTGCTGGGATGTTATACATTGTAAGCTTTCGAGATATTATACTTTAAGTATTGCAACTCAAGAAAGTTTTGTACAGTGAGTCATTGGAGATTTCGCAATGTAAAATTGCCAACAAGGAAAGTCAAAATTGAGAACATTCCTTTAAAATATAGAATTAATTTCCTGTATCATTTCCTCATTTAATACACACTTCTTTCCATTTAATAGGTTAAAATGTTTTGCAACCATACGTTTGGTAAGCATCAGGGTATGCTTGAGTAAAGCACATATACATCCTGTGCAATCTTTTTCTTCCTTGTATTTAAAGAAAAAAATCCCTGAATCAATGGTTCATAATTTTTGTCTGGACTGCTGCTTAAGCGAGTCCATAAAACATTTGTTAGAGCTTTGAAAGCCTAATGAACATTGTTTAACATTGGTGACCTATGCAGGTAATGTAATGTACATAACTTTTGTTCTTTGAAAAATGAAAAAAGTTAACCACTATACGAGATAGAAAAGAAAAAAGCAGCCACATAAAAATGTAAATTTAGACAGGAGTATCTCTACTTTGATTTGGTTTATGCAGACAAGAGTGATGCAGTCAATAATGGGCCTTGTATTTCCAATGAGATGCTGTGCATACTACATACACCCCTGCCCAGTGTTGGCCTATGGGAAAAAGGCAAAATCAGTATCCCCAAGTGTACGAATGAATGAATGAATGAATGAATGAATGAATGAAACATTGGTTTGCATGCGCACAGATGCTGACAAAACTATTAGAGATCATTATGTAGTTTGTATGATGTGTGTAAGCAGTGCCATAAAATATATATATTTTTTATTTAAATACTTAGACCAAGGCAATAGCATAAAAGATTCAAAGCATTGTTCCAAGACATTTGTAATTTTAAGGAAATACTAGCCAACAAAATAGAAAGCACAGATAGTTATACATATATCTTATAGAATACCTAATTTCTTTGAATACCTATTCTGAATAGCTCAATATCAGGTGTTCCTACAAACACATAACAATAAGACGTTAAGACTGCCAGAAGAATTGACTAGCTATTGTGCTCTAATTCCATTGCAAAGTTCAGATTGGTGTCACTGTAAACCCCCTCCAACTGAGTGATCTCTGACATAATCTGAAACTATTATGTTAGAAGGCATTACAAATAGGCATTGCTATTTCAAACACAAAGATCAAGCTTGTTTTGTTACCATCATGAAAGAAGTTTTCGTCTATTATAATTGCAGTAAAAGTATCAAAAGATTGCTAGAGGATTTGTGGTTTTACAGTTACATATTGAGTAAGAATGAATCGAATTAAGGCGAAGTGTTTTCTACACATTTGTCTACCTTTCACCTCCTACATACATGGGGTCTTCCCAAGTAATTACATCCTGGGTCCACAATATTCAATTGTTACAATAATGGAATGTTGTAATGTATTAATAATGCACATATCTTAATCTAATTTATGAGAAACCGTCATACCCTGTAGCCCTAGTATCCTGCATCTCAGTGACAGCAACCCCCAACACACCAGAGCACCCCCTTTTTTTGTGGTTACCTCTCTGGACGTGGATGATGTCTGGGAAGTTGGCCAGGTGGCCCTGGTAGACTGCCAGCAGGTCCATGATGGGATCCAGGTCCTGTCGAGGCTGCTCTGCAAACATTTCCCCAATAGCATCATAGGCATCCCCAGTGAAGGCCATAGCCCGGTTGAATCCCACCGAGAAGGGCTGCTGGTCTATCTCGAAAGCTTGTCCCAAGCCTTTGAAGGCCATGCCCACCTTCTGGTACTCCTTCTTGAAGCCTGAAGCTTGTTTTCGGGCAAACTCTCCGGCTGTCTGGTTGAGCTGAAGGACTCCCTCATCCATCCTCTTGGCGAACGCCTTGAAGGAGTCCAGCTTGCCTTCCACATCGTGGGGGTCCAGCACTGGGGCCCCTGGTGGGGTGCTGAGGGTGAGGAAGAAGTTGGCTCCAACCATGTCATCCTTCTCGCATTTCCTCTTGCCCTGTTTCCAGGCCTTCTCGTCGGTGCAGGTGAGGAAGTGCTGGAAGGCGTCGCACCGTGAGAGCACCGGGTGGCTGCACATGTGGTCCATCCACCAGATCAGACCCTTCCTCCGCTTGGAGATGAAGTCCTCCTCGAAGCGGCCGGTGGCCTGTTTCTCGGGGATGCGGGGTACCGATATGACCGGGAATTTCTCCAGCAGGCGGGTGTAGAGCCAGTCGAAGTGCTTGTACCGGCGGTAGACCTGCAGGCCGGTGTGGCTGGGGAGCAGCCGGTACGAGATGTAGCTCTTCATCCCCTTGAACTTGGTCTGCTTGGTGGGCTCGTCGATGGAGCAGCCGAACGGGTACGGGTTCTCCTGCCACTCCGGCCCGTGCGGGCCCTGCACCACGCACAGCTTGTCCCCGTCCCGCACGAACCCGGCCGCCTCGCCCAGCACGAACGCCTCGCCGCCGGTCTTGACGAAGGCGGAGAAGCGGTTGAGGTTGCGGCTGACGGTGGCCGAGCCCTTGGCGGCCTGGGAGGCGGAGGAGGCGGTGGTGGAGTAGGAGCCCGGGGGCAGCTCGGAGCGGGTGGACATTCGGTAGCGCGAGCTGGACCCGTCGTAGTCATGGAAACCGCCGCCGCCATAGTAACCGGGAGTGGGAGCCCCCCCGGGCTCGTCGGCCGCCGTGGAGCTGCTGTCATCCCACTCGTCGTCCCAGTCGTCGTCGCTGGGCTGGCTCTGCTGGTAGTGGAGGGCGCTCGGCCGGGGCTGCACGGCTCCCGCGGGGAAGGAGAAGGCCAGCTGGGGAGGAGCCTGGGCGGAGGGCTGTGGCGGGGAGTACCCCCCGGCGGGCAGGTTGGAGTAGCGGGAGTCCGGGGCCGGGGGTGGCGGGGGCGGCGGAGGGGGGGAGGCCGGCTCGCTGCGGATCACCTCCACGTAGGAAGCCGGGAACAGACCGCGCTCCCCCCGGCTGTTCACCCCCTCCAGCCAGCCCTCGATGTCCTGCTCGCTGCACAGGCTGAGCACCTCGGCCTCCCGCAGGGACACCTCCCCCGGGTTCTCCGCTCGGAAGTCATAGAGGGCGCGGGCCCGCAGCGACATGGTGACACCCGGGGAGCAGCACGACCCGCCGCTGCCTCCACGATCATCTAATCTGGGCTGGGGAGAGCACACAGCCAGCCCTGGCCGCAACCCTGGCTCCTCCCCGGGACGGCCTCCGCCTCCTCCTCCTTCTCTGACAGCCCGGGCCGGCCTCCTCCTCCCAGACCGAGCACAGACACACAGGATGGGGTCACAGCCCGAGCACCGACAGACAGACAGACAGGATCACAGACCGAGCACAGACAGACACAGACAGAGCACAGACAGACACAGACAGACACAGACAGGATCACAGACAGAGCACAGACAGTCAGACACAGACAGGATCACAGACCGAGCACAGACAGAAAGACACAGACAGGGTCACAGACCGAGCACAGACAGACAGACAGACACAGACAGGATCACAGACACACAGGATCACAGACCGAGCACAGACAGACAGACACAGACAGGATCACAGCCCGAGCACAGACAGACAGACACAGACAGGATCACAGCCCGAGCACAGACAGACAGGATCACAGACCGAGCACCGACAGACACAGACAGGATCACAGCCCGAGCACAGACAGACAGACACAGACAGGATCATAGCCCGAGCACAGACAGACAGACACAGACAGGATCACAGCCCGAGCACAGACAGACAGACACAGACAGGATCACAGACCGAGCACAGTCAGGATGGGGTCACAGCCCGAGCACCGACAGACAGTCTCATTCCAGGCCAGAGTAGCCGAACTGAAAGCAAAGCTGAATTGGAGAATGTTTCCAGTTCGCTGCTTTTACCTTAAATTGGAAATTCAATTTTGGGCTCTCACTTTAGTGAATACCTGTTAGATGATTTAATTATTAATAGTAAAACATACAGTCTATCACTGACAAACACACCGTGTCAGGTTAGCAAAGTGTGATAATAATGTCTTTGGATGGATGAAGAAACAGAACAATTTCTATAGATTGCGCACTGTTGGTGCATGTGGGGGTTTTAGGTGTAGAAATAGTGTAAATGTATATGATTGTTTCTCACTGCACTGTATATCGTCAGTGTTTCTGTATGTGTAAAATGTCTGCATGTATATAAATTGGTTTTCCAGTGTGTGTAATGACTGCGTGTTTTTATGCTGGTGTGTTTGTATGTGGGGTCAGTGTTTCTTCATGTGTGTATTTTTGGTATGGGTGTGTGTCAGATTTCCTGTGTGCATATGTTGGTATTTCTCTGTAGGTGAGTGTGCAAGGTCATTATGTATGTATGTATGTATGTTATTGTGTATTTACGTTACGTTCTCATTCCAATATAACTATGGGAGTAATCAACATGGTAACCAGCGAAACCAGCATGCACTTTTCATTGGGGACTCCTCCCCTTTTACATATTTGCACCACTTTACAGAACACAACACGTTGATAAGCAATCTCACTATATGCGTATGTATGTGTGTTTTAGTGAATATAATGGTAGTGCATATGTTGAGTATTTATGTGGATCCAATGTCAACCATAGTTGGAGGAAACCGGGAAGAGACTTCACGTGCTGTAGTGGATATGTGCCAGAAAGGCCCTGGCACCCCTCATTGTAAGTAGTCAAACAATTTTCAAAAGGCTTACTACTTAGCTGAAAGTCAATTGACATGGGGTTTGAATGTTGCATTCTTTAATGATATATAATAAAACACCAAACAACTCCTTCATTCAATTGTTTATTTTGATTAAAACTGTAACATTTGGAGAATGGCTGTGAACCTTTATTATGGATTTCACAATTCCAATTTAAAAAATCAACATCCTTAATTATAATAAAACCATAACTTTTAACCCAAACCAACATAAACCATTAACCCTTTCCAGGCTCTGCCCCCTAAAGCCAGGAGCCATAAATATATATTAAAACCAAATACACCAATCTACCCTCCTGTGATGTCCAGGAGGGTGAGATATCACATTAGAAGATCACGACATAAAGTCATAAATGAAGGGGAGAGGGGGTGGGGGCTGCAGCTCAAATATAGTTTAAAGCAGCTAACCTTTCTAATTGTCTGGCACAAGTTGAGGTAAATTTTTTAGGCGCCCTTATATCCCAAAATGCCTTGCGACGCTTCCCGCTGATCAAACAGCGCGGTCTGTCCTGCACCTAACCCAAGGCTTGCACGTCTGCTGCAAAGCCTACCCGATACTTACCCACAGGCCTCTGCTCCATCAAACCCCATGAGGCTGCTCCCTATGTATCCGCCTGCCCGACATTCTCATCCAGTGAACTAGCCCTGCGCTTTGTGGCTAAGCACAGAAGAGCTAATGGTAGCTACTAAGTACCCTCATTGCTTAAGTACAGACCCCTCAGACATGTTTTATTTGCTCTGTCAAGATTTTTTAATCACTTTTTGAATTTCTATTTGGCTGGCAGATTCCAAACACCTTAAAAAGACAGGTCTGCACATTGTCTTGTCGTCTAGAGTTCTCCTTACTTAACAGCATCAATGGGTGAAGTCAAGCCTCTTTAAAGTGATTGCTTTTTTTGCAAGATATGTCAATCTGTAGGAGTTTGGTGTTGAATTGGGCATCACATATCATTGGGTCAGGGGTTGAGAACATGAGGTCACATGGGTAAAGCCCAGCAAGTCAAAAGTCAGTAAAATGGTAAGTAAGATGCAAAATAGCCAACATATAGCTCAGTGTTTACATGAAGGCAAACACATTTTCTTTACTATGCAGTGACACCTAGTGTATTCCTGTGGAAAATTACATTATAAATAGTTCATAAAAGGACAGGAATTCTATGTTGGAAGACAGGGCTGGCACGTGCATAAGGCGGCACAGGCGGCCGCCTTAGGGCACCAGAGCAGGGGGAGGCGCAAAAATCTGAATCCCCTGACTCTGGCTGGGGACTTGGATTTTTTAACTCACCTTGCTCTCCCTGCAGCCAGCACAGAACAGGAAACTGGCAGTGAAGTCAGCCAGCCTCCTCTGATGATGTCAGAAGAGGGGGCGTGACTTCCACTGCTCCCAGACTCTCCAGTGGTCTTCAGTGAATCTCCTGCCTCCAGGTCCTGTCTGGCCAGTCCCACCTGACCATCAGGGTCCCCCCCTCCCTGGCCCAAGGTAAGCCTCGTGTGGGCGGATACCTTTTAGATTTATTTATTTTTAATCAAAAGTTTTTTCCCGTTTTTTTTTTTCTGTTCTTTTCCATGTATTTATTTTTAAAGCAGCCCAAAAACAAAACTATCAATGTATTTACTTTTTTGATTATGTGAGTTGTAGACATATTGGTTAATTTTAAAGGAACACTTTTCACCATAACAACTTAACCTAAATGAAGTTGTTGTGATGCCCGTAGGCCCCTGGGCGCTCTGTTAATTTAATGAGTTAAAACCTATCCTAGATCTTTAGGTCCCCCAGCAGGATCCAACTTCTGAAACTGAGTTTCAGAAAGGTCAGAGTGCCGCTGCATAATGGCGCCGCAGGCTGGGTATGGCAAAGAGTTACTGATTGGCTTAGAGCATCAGGTGACCTCTCTAGCCAATCAATGACAGCCCTGCCCAGCTGCAATCTGTGCTTCCTGAAACGCCTTTGGGGTTCAACTATTCGAGAGCTGTTTAACCCCTTAAAGTAAAGAGAACGCCCAGGGGCCTCCTGGCGCCATAACATCCTTATTTAGATGCAGTTGTTATAGTGACCAGAATGTTCTTTAGTTTGCTGAAAGGAACACTATAGTGTCAGGAATACAAACATTGTCCTGCCCTTATTTCCAGCGCAGGTATCCCTGCGGCTCATCCTGCTTCGCCTTTCCATGGAAAGAACTAGAAAGGCTATTGCACATGCCTGGCAAAATTCCACCTTGCGCCAATCAGCATCTCCTCACAGCGATGCATTGAATCAATGAGGAGTAGGGATGTGCAGGGGCGGACTGACCGGTCGGGCACTTCGGACATGGTCCAAGGGCCCGGCCGGGAGGGGGGCCCGCCATCAGGGGGCCCGGCAGCAGGGCCAGATTGGCCCACCGGGGCTACGCAAGTGTCACGGGTGGCAGTCCGGTGCCCGGAACCCAGACACAGTGTCCAGGCGGCGGCGCGTGGACCGGGACCCAATATGCCTGATGATAAGTGGGAGTCTTCAGCGTGGAGGTGGATTAGCAGGGTCTGGTGCAGGGTAACCGCACGCCCCCTGGTGTTGAGCACCAGCGTTTGTGCAGCCACATACCAAGACCCTGATTCAGCCTATGCAGATAACAGGAACTAGGAACTTGGAAATTAAGCAGACCTCCCAGGAGCTTAATAGGGAGGCTCTGCAGCAGGATTGTATCCAGTACTAGAAACAAGGCAAGACTAAATTTGGCACCAAACATGAAAACAAGACAGAACTAATAGAACCCAGAACCAGAGAAGGATAGGAAGCTAAACCCAGAACATATACACAAGACATGAGGTAAACATGAACATAACATGGGCATGACTGGACAGGACTGTACATGGGCTGGGTATACAAACCAAGACAAGAGATACAAGGTAAAACAAGAGGAAACATAGCTAAGCACTAATTATGAAAAGCATGGGGATTTAGTTACATTATATGATCATACATTGCATAAGCCTGCCAACAACGCCAATGTACCCCATATCTGGCAGGTCCTACACTGCCTAATGCAAACTAAAACAACCACACTATACCACAATAGCACTTACCTGCAAGAAAGGGCAGAGAGATGAAATACTGCTGCAGGTCCAAGCTGAAACAAAAGGGTAAGTGGAAACAAGCGGGTGTGGCAACATAAAACAAACATTTAAAGGAAACCTGGAGACTGGGAATCCCAGGCATGGATTACAGAAATGAACCCAGAAATCCCAGCAACAAAGAAAACCAGACATAGACCAGAAAACCAGAAAAACCAAGCAAGGAAAGCAAAAAGAGTACTGGATACCAGAACCAATGCAGAATGATCCGCAGCGAGGAACAGAACGTGACATAACTCCCCTCCTAAGGAGCGAACTCCGGACGCTCCAAACAACTCCCAGGCAGAGACCGGAAATGGCGAGCGGATCCTGCAACGAAGTCCTCTTGACTTCCACGGAGGCAAGGATCCCCCACCGGAAATGCCTCCTGCATAGG